GTGATATATTTAGTTGGTTGTACTGTTGAAAGTGAAGAAAAATAGAAAATGAAACATGGTATCAGAGCCCTTGGACACGTGTGAACCCTTAAACCTAAACCCATTTCTTTGTTTCTGTTTTCCAGCGACCGAATCTTTGGTGAGTCTTTGTCCATGGTTTCTCTCTCCAGCGACGTTTGCCCTTAGCTTCCCTTTTTCCGCGAACGTCTGAATCTGTTCTTTGTGTTCTTTGTTCCTCTGTTATCTCGACAACCTCCGTGTATCTCCGCGACCTTTGTTTTTTTTCTGGAAACGCTGATTTTGTTCAGTCTTTCTTTTCTATTGTTGTTGGTGCAGTGTGATCGTGGAGTTGTGAATCCTTTTGGTGTGCTGGAGGAGTTGTGAATCATTTGGCTATTCTTTGTGTTGGCTTGGAGTTGTTCTGATCTGGTTGTTTGAGATTGGGAGCTGAGTGTTTGCTTGGGTTGTTTGGTGTTGAGATGTTTTGAACTATGGAGTTGGGAGTTATTTGCTAAACAGTATGGCAGGGATAGTAAGAAGATGGTGACTGAAATTGTCACTTCCTCAACCAAAATTACTAATCGAAAGTTATTGAGAAAAAAATTATATTCAATGGAAGCGATTATCACGATGTGTCCAGCATTGATATGAACCATTTAATCGAGGATCCACTGAGGCAACAGAAAGTGATAATAAAACTCGAAAAAAAAGGCTCACGAAAGATGATAAGCTCTTAATCAGATTTAGAACACTCTCGATTCGTCCGTGGATGATGTGATGGTCAATGTGATACCGTCAAGGAGTTATGGGAGTATCTAGAGTTCTTGTATGTGGTAAACAAGACCTGTTTCATGCCTATGAGTGTTATTGAAGATCTATCGAGCAATATGCAAGAGAAGACGTCGCTGAATATTATACAGAGATAAAACAAGCCTTTGAAGAAAAAAAGGGCTAGTTCTCCCCCTACTGATGGAAGATGATGCAAGACAAGAAGAACAAGTGGTAGTACACTTCCCTTCTTACCGATGTTTTTGCTTGACTTCTCAAAGTTAGTAAGGGGGGAGTTGATGAGTATTAAGGACAAAAAAACCCTTTAAGGATCTAATGTTGATCATGAAGGCCTAGCTAGCGTGAAGCCTGGTGATGGTAAAGGTAATAAAGGGACAAGTCGTACGGGAACAACGTGGTAATGCCCTCAACTTGCTTCCTATGTGTGCTGAGGGTCACGTAAAAAGAATTGTTGAAGCTCCATGAAAGCCCCTGAATATGCAAGGCACTCAGAAGTTTGCTCATGTTGCAACTCAAGATGGTCTCTCTACTCACCCCATCAAGTTACTATCTCTGCAAAGAATATGCTCGTCTCACTCAAATCTTGCTCCCGTACCATGCCATCGACTATCACTACATTAACCTAGTTAGGTAATCTATAGTGTTTGTCCACTTCTGTAGTAACGGGTCATTGATTTTGGTGTACCCACCATATGACGGGGACAAGGTATTCTCTCCTCATTACACTTCTCCTAATTTGTTCGGTTATCTTACTAACGGGTTATACACCTATTATTGGAAGGTACTACCATTCAACAAATCTAGTCTCTCTCCTCTGTCTTGTGCCTTCTCATGTTTCCGCCAATTTGTACATACTTGAAATTTTAGTTATGTCCAAGAATCATAACTTGGCCACAAGTGGTGGAAATTGTGGTCCTGGAGATATTGAGGTGATCATTATTATTCTATGGGGGAGAATAATAATGATCACCTCAATATCTTTTTTAATAATGTGTGAATTCTTTGTATAAAGAACATATTGTAGAGATTCTGTGAATGACTAAACAGTGTGTGCCTCAAGTTTCAACATCTTGATGGGGAAACGAGTTGCAATGAATTGTACAAGCAACAACAATCTAGTAATTTACTCTGATTTTCTTCTTTTTGTGTGCATAGGTGCATAGTGTCAAGAAAACTAGGATAAAGCATTTTTCTCAACCTTTTGACTTCTTCATTAGGCTTGGGTTTAATGTCTTTTTTTGGTTATTGGACTCCTTTTTGTTTTTTGATTCTGTAGACTATCTTCTTGTTATTTCTCCTGTAGGCATCTAGGCAATGAGATAGCTCATTTGAAGTTTTCTACTGAATCTTGTACTAAGGATAATAGTGAGAGTTGCCTGAAAAAGCTAGATTGGTTTAAAAGTGCCATTGCTCCAACTTCAATATGGTGGGAAAAAAAGTGGGCTATGGGTTTTTTAATTCTTTGCATTTTAAGTTTTTGTATCCTCGGCTGTTTTCTTACAATTTCTACTTTGGAATTTAAGGGTTCGCATTCATATGTTTGTTCTTCAACTTTATTTTTTGTAATAATGTATGAATTCTTTGTACAAAGGACAGATTGTAGAGATTCTGTGAATGACTAAACTCTATGTGCCTCAAGTTCCATCATCTTAATGGGGAAACGAGTTGCAGTGAATCGTACAAGCAACAGCAAACTAGTAAGTTACTCTGATTTTCTTTGTTTTGTGTGCACAAGTGCATAGTGGCAATAAAACTAGGATAAAGCATTTTTCTCACTTTTTTGACTTCTTTATTAGACTTAGGTTTAATGTCTTTTTTTTGGTTATTAGACTCTTTTTTGTTTTTCTTTGTTGATTCTGTAGACATTATTAGAATCATATCAACTTTTGATTATGAAGTCTTTTGTATCTTTGAGCTGTAATCGAAGGCCATTTCATAAGTCTATTTGCTAGTTGATTTCATGATTTTTAATCAGTTCTTGAAATTACTGTATGTTTGTTGAAGGATGCTTCTAATGTCCTCCTTCATACGTTTGAGTGAAAAGTATTTGTTTATGATGGTCCAACCTTGAATCAAACATTTATCTTGTAAATGTACGTATATCATTCTTGACAGTGTAATGGTACAAGAATAGGATGTCTTCCAAGTTCTTTTTTGTTCTTTTCTGAAAAATATCACACCTTATCGATCCTGTTATTTTCTTCTGCTGCTCTTATATTTTGCATATGTATGTCGTGATATTTTCTCATCTTTTGTTTTAGTATCCAAATGTGGAGTCTTGCACTTGGACTTGAGCATGTTAGAAAGGTGGGGCTTTTATTGAGATGCTTGGTTCAAGCATTTAGTAATTTGTTAAAGTTTTGGGACAGTGTAACTCTTGAATTTAGTTTTAGTTTTATGATGCCTTATGCATTGTTCTTTTTTTTTTTTTTTTTTTTTTTTTTTTTTTAATTGGATTTACTGTTATATGATGTATAAAGTCAGAGATCTGGATATCAAGGTTAGCTAGTCGTTAATGTTGGAGTATGGTTCGATATATGGGTTGTGGAGAGTTGCATAATTATTTGGTATGAGTTCTAAGTCTAATTTACTCGTTGTTCTATGAAGATCGGTTTTATTAGTTTACATTCCAAAAAGATGAATTTGTAGTAGGGTAGATCAGCTGGGGAGAATATAAACTTGTCAAAGGCAGTGACGGGTTAAGGAAATTGGACCTAATGGGATTTCCCTCATGCTGGAGTTTTCGGTGAGCTAATTAACTTTTTCCTTTATTTATCATTAACATTCTTTTAACTCATTCCTATGTAACAATACATTGAAGCATCCATTTATGATTGGTCGAAATTGAGAATTTCATCCTCATTATCATGTTAAACTTGTCAAAGGCTGTGGCGTGTTAAGGAAATTGGACCCTAGAATTTTCGGTGAACTAATGAACTTTTTCCTTTATTCATCATTAACATTCTTTTAACTCAATTCATATGTAACAATACATCGAAGCATCCATTTATGATTTCTCGAAATTGAAAATTTCATCCTCATTATCACGGTAATTGCACAACTATATATAGGCAAAGTGTTATGATAATAGCATCTTCTTTTCATTGAATGTAATCTTTGTTTGTCTCAGATTTCTTTTTCTGTTCTAACTCTAGAAAATCATTATTATGGAGTCTTTTTGCGACTTTTATGGTTTGTTGTCGTGATGATGATCTGGGCAATCGATTTTTTCTATAATTGAACAGAATATAATCAATGAGGACTTCTTTGTAATTCTGGAAACTTAAAAGGTTTACAATGTGAATGCAATTATTATAGACTAGGCTCCTGTTTATAAAGTTATGTGATGCCCCGCTATCAATTAAAACCATAACCTTTTTGCCCTTAATTTTGCCACTCAACTTCATGGTTTTAGGTCCATTGATCCCAACTACCGAACTAATCGACAACTCAGCCTCTTTGGGTACCTCTTGTTCCATTATTTCTTTTTCATTCGTTACCTCTTCCTCCCTATTTTCCTCTTCATCAATCAACAGTACTTGGAATTGCTTTTCCCCGCATTTATGCCCTGGTGAGTATTTTGCATCACATTGATAACACAAGCCTCGTTCTCTTTTCCTCTGTATCTCGATCACAGTCAATTTCTTAAATGGAAACTCTCGGCGGAATGCGCTAGTTCTGTTGCTGTTTGAAGTTGTTGACCCTGAGTTGTCGTAGCTTTCAGATGGAATTCTTCAGGTGGGAGTTGTATTTTGGGAAAAGGTGTGGGTTTGGTTACCAGATCTGGGTAAGTTGTATGGGTTATTTGAAGAGTGGGCTTTCAAACTTTCATCCTGTCTAAATGAATTAGAAATAGATTTAGGCCTAGAAGTTACCTATTCGGCCCAAGTTTGCATGGGCTTCTTCCAGTGCAACATTCTTCTCTTCCACGCGTTGGGCCAACAAGGTCACTTGGGTTAATGAATTGGGTCGGGTTAACAAATCGGGTTGCTACAACTTTATCTCTGCCCAGATCTCTGGTTTTAACCCGTTTAGAAAAGTTGCTGTTAGGACGTCTTCTCTCTCCCCTTGTGTTAGCGTTGCAACCTCTTCGAACCGTCAACGAAAATCCAACATCGATCCCAAACGTATGTTATTACTCATGTTAGCGCTGCAACATCTCCTCAAACTCTGTGTCTGAAGCAATTACTTATGATGGGTGGTGAAGGGTTATGGAAGAGGAGATGTTGGCTCTAGAACATAATGATACATGGGTTCTAATGGAGTTGCCTGAAAATAAAAGGCTATTGGGTGGAAATGGGTTTTCACAGCGAAGGCTAATCTCGATGGGACTGTGGCTCGATTGAAAACTCGGTTGGTTGCTAAGGGTTATGCTCAGACGTATGGTATTGATTATTCTGAGACATTCTCCCTCATGGCTAAAATGACCTCTGGCTGACTATTCATCTCTCTTGCAGCTTCATATTGTTGGCCTCCTCACCAACTTGATGTAAAAAATTCTTTTTTACATGGTGATCTTCTTGAAGAGGTTTACATGGAGCAACCTGTAGGGTTTGTTGCTCAGGGGGAGTTAAGAAAGGTATGCAAATTGAGGAAATCTTTATATGGCTTAAAGCAATCTCCATGGGCATGGTTTGGGAGGTTTAGCGAAGTGGTGACTCAGTTTGGTTTACATAGGAGTGCTTATGATCATTCTGTCTTTTATAAACAATCTATTTCTAGCATCATTCTTTTAGTTGTTTATGTTGATGACATTATAATCATTGGCAGTGATGATGTTGGCATTCAGAGTTTGAAAAACTTTTTGGCTTCCAAATTTCACACAAAAGATTTGGGCACTTTAAGGTATTTTCTGGGAGTCGAGGTTTCTCGGAGTAAGAAAGGGATTTTTCTCTCTCAACGCAAGTATGTGTTGACCGAAATGAGTCTAAGTGAGGCTAAACCTTGTGACACTTCTATGGTTCCTAATGTGAGATTGAATGCTGAGGATGAAGAGATGTTTGGTGATCCAGAGAGATACAGACGGATAGTTGGAAAGTTAAACTACCTTACAATAGCCCGTCCAGATATTGCAGTTTCAGTGAGTGTGGTGAGTCAATTTATGTCATCTCTTAGGACATCTTATTGGGATGCGGTCTTCCATATTTTGAAGTATCTAAAAGAAGCCCCTGGACGTGGAATTCTTTACAGTGATCATGGTCATAATAAGGTAGAAGGTTTTTCATATGCGGATTGGGCAGGATCCTCTGTGGATAGACAGTCTGTGACTAGGTTTTGTGTTTTTGTTGGAGGAAATCTTATTTCTTGGAAAAGTAATAAGCAACCGGTTGTAGCTAGGTCAAGCGCAGAGTCTGAGTATCGAGTTATGGCACAAGTTACGTGTGAGCTTATATGGACAAGACATCTTCTTAGAGAAATTGGGTTTGGTGACCCAAGGACTATGGACTTGTGGTCTGACAACCAAGTAGCCATACATATAGCAAACAATCCAGTCTTTCACGAGAGGACTAAGCATATAGTAGTGAATTGTCACTTTGTACGAGAGAAACTTGAACAAAAGCTAATTGCTACTAATCATGTTAGACCAGGGGAACAACTAGTTGGCATCTTCACGAAGTCTCTCGTTGGTAAAAGGGTAACCTATATTTGTAACAAGTTGGGTATGATAGATATATACGCTCCAGCTTGAGGGGGAGTGTTGGAAACTATGTATATGTAGTGTAAATGGTATATATGTAATTGCTGAGTGTGTGTATATATTTAGTTAGGTTGTACTGTTGAAAGTGAAGAAAAAATAGAAAATGAAACGGCAATGTCTCTTTGAACCACCGCCATATCCTTCTCGACACTATCAACTCTTTTCTCCATTCTAGTATCAACCATACCCCAGATAATCTGCGAGCTCTGATACCAATTTGTTGGAATCCTACTATTTCAGCTGAAACACTACGCTGATCACACTAAATAGCCGTAACTCAACACAATAATATGCTTCTCAAAATACAAACAAATACAACAAGCAACCCAACAAACAACAATATCTAAGAGAGTAATATATTCAGACTTGATTAATAAGAAAAAAATGGAGAAGATGACATTCAGTTTTGGAATAAAACAGTATCGCCAGCTGGTCTTCGAGGGCCAGCACCTCTTAGACTCAATTCATGCACAAAAGCAAAAGATATCCCTTGCCCCTGCTATCCCTCCCCTTTATTCTAACACTAGGATTCTAATAACTAATAAGACACCTGTCCCCATATGCTTTACCCCTTTTGCCCTTTCCTCTCATTTCCTGTCTTACGCGAATACCATTTGGATATCTTAGGTCCATCAATCTATATAGGAATTTGCTCTGTAATTGGGTCGTTGACAGTTAGTATTTATGGCTCCTCACATTTTTTTATCATCCCATTGCGCTTAAAGAACCATGGTTTAATGAGTTTTTTTTTTTCTTTGGGGTGCAGGTTATGAGTGTTAAAGCCATTGGCATTGCAATAAAGTTAACAATAGAGGGAATAAACCAAGCCAAATATTTTCGACATGGATTTTTGCAATGGTTGCATTTACTTGTATCATCACACAATTAAACTATCTAAACATGTTCAGTATCTTATTTATTGTAAGAGTAATTTTTAGGGTCATTGTTATTGCTAGCGGCTAAAGTTCCTATTGTTAGAAAAGGTAGCTTTTCTATTGTTGTGCTGACTGATTTGCTCTCTAAAGTGATGGATTAGTGCTAGTGAACAGTTGATATCAACTTTGTATGGTGTCTTTTAGGTTGTCATGTGGGACTCCATTAGGCAGAATTAGGGCATGATTTCTTGTACATTTCTCAAAAATTTCAATTCCTAGTATCTTCCATGATGGTTATGCTCATACTCCTTGGTCTGTGATAACATGATAACATTATCTTAAAGCTTGAATGGTTTGACCCTTGGTTTCTGGCTAAGAAGTCAGAGGGTTTAGATCTCTTTAGGACCAAGTAATTGGGGATATCATAACTCAAAAGTTTCCTAGTTTCAAGTGTAGAATAACCATTCTCACTACAAAACCTAGACCATTTTTGGTAATTCTAAAGCAATCTTATTCCTCTTTCTTGGCCTTCACTAGTCTATATTTTTATAACCTAAAGTCCTTTTGATTCCCCTAGTAAATATAAATTTAGGTATAATCTAAGGACATTGTTTGGAAATATTCTATGTTTAAAATGTCAATTAATCGGAGAGAGCAACTAGAAAAATGTTGAATCGTAAAAGTGGAGTGGGCTAAAAGACATGTTCTGACATGTCTCAACTTCTAGCTCTCATTTTGTTATCTTATATTGTCATAAGTCCTCCTTATGGTATGTGGTTATCAAGAGTAAATATGGCCTTCATGTAAATGGTTGGGATTCTAAGATGGTGGCTAATGGATTCCCTTGAAGCCCGTGGAATCTATATCGAAATACTATTCTGTATTTCTTTCTCATTTTATGCTAGACGTGGGGAATTGGAATACAATTTGCCTTTTGGAATATGCTTGGCGGTAGGATAATCCTTTGTGTTACATGTTCTATTATCTTTATGGATTCGAGATCTCATAATGTCTCTATCAAATCCAAAGTGGTTTACTTGGTTGCCCTCTCCATAGTTGAAGTTTAATTTTGACCTTTTTTGGAATTTGAATGAGATAGATATCTAGGATCTTTCTGTTCTATTGGATTGACTTCGTTTTTTTATGTAAATCTTATTTCTCTTGGTTGATTAATGATCCCTCCTATTGTTCTGTTTTGTTGGATAGAATAATTTGAAAGGCCAAAGTCACTTGTAAGGTTCAAATTTTTGCTTGGGCCTTAGCTCACAATAGAATCAATACAGGTGAAGTTTTTCACTGAAGATTCCTTAATATATTCTTGACTCTCTCTTGGTGTGTTATTTTAAAGAAGCAAAACAAAGACTGTTTATTCCATCATTGTCCCTTGTTGTTGGTTTTCAGTTTAAACTGATTCAAATAGCTAAAATTTCTTAGGTCATTCCAGCCTCAGATAAATTCTTTTTCTCAAGTTCTTAGACTCTTTTGGTAGGATTAATAAAGCTAAAGTTGTGGAAATGTGTTGTTTTGTCATTGTTTTGGGTAATTTGTATTGAGGAATTGAAGGTTTTCTTTATATTAATAGAGAGGAAGACATCCCTTCTTTGTGGGATAGAGTTTGAAATTTAGCTTCCCTTTGAGTGTCATTGACAATAATTTAGAGATTCTTCTTTCATTTATAATTCATTTAAATTGGGAGAGTAACAGAAATAATCAGTGAGGACTTCTTTTAATTCTGGAAACTTAAAAGGTTTACAATGTGAATGCAATTATTATAGACTAGGTTGTTTATAAAGTTTGTGAGCCCCCTATCAATTAAAACCATAACCTTTTTGCCCTTAATTTTGCCACTCAACTTCATGTTTTAGGTCCATGATCCCAACTCGAATAATCGACAACTCAGCCTCTTGGGTACTCTTCCATTATTTCTTTTTCATTCTTACTCTCCTCCCTATTTCCTCTTCATCAAAACAGTACTTGGAATTGCTTTCCCGCATTTATCCCTGGGGAGTATTTTGCATCACATGATAACACAAGCCTCGTTCTCTTTTCCTCTGTATCTCGATCACAGTCAATTTCTTAAATGGAAACCTCTCGCGGAATGTGCTAGTTCTGTGCTGTTAAGTTGTTGACCCTGAGTTTGTAGCTTTCAATGGAATTCTTCGGTGGGAGTTGTATTTGGGAAAAGGTGGGTTTGGTTATCAGATCTGGGTAAGTTGTATGGGTTATTTGAAGAGTGGCTTTCAAACTTTCATCCTGTCTAAATGAATAGAAATAGATTTAGGCCAGAAGTTACCTATTCCGCAAGTTGCATGGGCTTCTTCCAGGCAACATTCTTCTCTTCCACGCGTTGGCCACAAGGTCACTTGGGTTAATGAATTGGGTCGGGTTACAAATCGTGTTTGTAACTTTATCTCTGCCAGATCTCTGGTTTAACCCGTTTAGAAAAGTTGCTGTTGACGTCTCTCCTCCCTTGTGTTAGCATTGCAACCTCCTCAACCTCAACGAAAATCCAACATCGTCTCCAACGTATGTTATTACTCTGTTAGCGCTGCACATCTCTCAACTCTGTGTCTGAAGCAATTACTCATGATGGGTGGCGAAGGGTTATGGAAGAGAGATGTTGGCTCTAGAACATAAGATACATGGGTTCTAATGGAGTTGCTGAAAAAAAAGGCTATTGGGTGAATGGGTTTTCACAGTAAGGCTAATCTGATGGGACTGTGCTCTTAAAACTCGTTGGTTGCTAAGGGTTATGCCCAGACGTATGGTATTGATTATTCTGAGACATTCTCCCCAGTGGCTAAAATGACCTCTGCGACTATTCATCTCTCTTGCAGCTTCATATTGTTGGCCTCTCACCAACTTGATGTAAAAAATGCTTTTTTACATGGTGATCTTCTTGAAGAGGTTTACATGGAGCAACCTCGGGTTTGTTGCTCAGGGGAAGTTAGGAAAGGTATGCAAATGAGGAAATCTTTATATGACTTAAGCAATCTCCATAGGTTGGTTTGGGAGGTTTAGCGAAGTGGTGACTCAGTTTGGTTTACATAGTGTTATGATCATTCTGTCTTTTATAGCAATTATTTCTGCATCATTCTTTGTTGTTTATGTTGATGACATTGTAATCACTGGCAGTGATGATGTTGGCATTCAGAGTTTGAAAAACTTTTTGGCTTCCAATTTCACACAAAGATTTGGACACTTTAAGGTATTTTCTGGGAGTCGAAGTTCTCGAGTAAGAAAGGATTTTTCTCTCTCAACCAAGTAGTGTGTTGACCAATGAGGTCTAGTGAGGCTAACCTTGACACTTCTATGGTTCCTAATGTGAGATTGAATGTTGAGGATGAGAGATGTTTGTGATCAGAGATACAGACGATAGTTGGAAAGTTAAACTACCTACAGTACCCTCAGAATTGCTTTTTCAGTGAGTGTGGAGTCAATTTATGTCATCTCCTAGGACATCTATTGGGATGCGGTCCTCCATATTTGAAGTATCTAAAAGGAACCCTGGAGTGGATTCTTTACAGTGATCATGGTCATAATAAGGTAGAAGGTTTTTCAGATGGATTGGGCAGGATCCTCTGTGGATAGACGTCTGGACTGTTTTTGTGTTTTTGTTGGAAATCTTATTTCTTAAAAGTAATACAACCGGTTGTAGCTATCAAGCGCAGAGTTCTGAGTATCGGTTATGGCACAAGTTACTGTGAGTTAATGGACAAGACATTTCTGAGAGAATTGGGTTTGGTGACCAGGACTAGGACTTGTGGTGACAACCAAACCATCACTATAGCAAACAATCCAGTCTTCACGAGAGCTAACATATAGTGATTGTCACTTTGTACGAGAGAACTTGAACAAAAGCTAATTGCTACTAATCATGTTAGACAGGGAACAACTATGCATCTTCACGAAGTCTCTCGTTGGTAAAAGGGTAACCTATATTTGTAACAATGGTATGAATATATACTCTCCAGCTTAGGGGGAGTGTTGGAAACTATGTATATGTAGTGTAAAGGTATATATGTAATTGCTGAGTGTGTGTATATATTTAGTTAGGTTGTACTGTTGACGTTTATTCTAAAATTTATAGAATGTGAACTTTTAATTCAACTAAAA